TTCCTGCTGCAAACTAAAGATTCTAAGTAATCACAGTGTGCAACATGAAAACTCCGAGTAAGGATGTGTCTATTATAATATGTGATAATCAGTCCCAAATACTTATTAACTGGAGAACGCACAGTGATCTGAATCTATGTTTCGTTAACACATCTGGCAGTTTCTGTGGCTTCTGTTTCCTCCCCCACCCCCTGAAACGGCAAACCAAGACTTGATCAAACATGTAAAACATACAGTACCCTGAACGCATTCAGCCCAAGGGAAAAGGCAGAGTGGTAAGTTACCTTAAATTCAGTTTCAATGTTGGCTAGTCTGGCCAGTTCATTGCTTAGCTCTAACGCGGTAAGGACAGGATCTTCACTGGAAAGAGACAAATAAGCGGCACTGGCTAATCCTTTGTAGGCATTCATTCTCGATCGAGAGTGACTAAAGGAATCTTTCCTCTGCTTCTCAATACATTCATTGCACTTGCAAAAATAGTCATGTGGCCTTTCAATCCGTGCGCCTTTTAGAAGTAAGATGTGAACAATTTCGTACTCCTGGCAGTGGGCAGCAAGTATGATAGGGGTAATGTCATGGGAGAACCGAGTGCCATCTTCATCGTAAGCATAAAAATCATCATCTCTCAGTTCCTGCTCAAGGGGGCTGAGTGTGAGACGCTGTCCTTGTGCAAAGGCTGGATGGTTTAATATTGCTTCTACAATGCGCACGTATCCTTTACTGATGGCTAATAAAAGCGCATCTCCAACTCGAGCGAGATTCTCCTTTTTGAGGAGGAGCTCCGTCACTTCCAGATGCTCATTCCCTACAGCTAACTGAAGGGCATTTTGTCCCATATAATCGACGCAATTAAAGTTCAAGGTTTTGGATTCCTCCAGCATTTTTCGCACAACGGGAATGTTGCCATATTCTGCAGAATCGAGAAAACGTTCCTCTTCTGCAGTCAGGCTGGTCCCTTTCTCATTGAACATGTAGGCTGGGCCCCGGATGGCCTGCCTCCGGCCCTTCTCCCGAAGGGTTGTGTGCCTTCGATGCATGTTTTTATAATTGCTGTTTCTCAACCTGCAGAAAACCAGAAAGGAAAGTTGGTTATATTCTCAGAGTATCATAATATCACATAACCTGAAATAAGGTTAGAAATGTGTCATTATGATCAGATCTTGCTAGCTTTTTATGATTGGGACCAGTTGTTCAAAATTATTTAGGATACATGTGGAATAAAGATTAGTTTTCAGAACAGACAAGTTCTCTTCTGACTTGTACACCCTTCTGGATTTCAACAAGGATACAGAGCACATTATTAACTGGAGATATATTTTAAAAAAATAATGTATGAATATATTTTTTCCCATTTTTATTGTTTAGAACTTCATAACACAGTACTTAGGAATGATATCCACAACATAATATTTCTCCAAATTACTCTTCTTGATTTTATCCTTGAGGGGATGAGTCCTTAAGAAAGTTAGCAGGACTCCCCATGTCAATAGATCTTGAATCAGGCCAATAAACTATGTTCCATGGAGTTAAAACACATGCTTCTAATTTTAAACACACAATAACAAGGATAAATATATTGCATATTCTGCTAAGATTCAGCTGGTACAAGTAAACCACCTTTTCATTCACTGCTTTTTTCATGCTACATAATACCATTTTTCTGTTTACTGATCTAGAGCAGTTTAATGAATGACTGTCTAATTTTCTCTCTGAAATACAGTTGACAGCTACTCCAAATCCAAGGGCCAGTGAAAAACACAGAAATACTCCTGATTTAGTGTCGCATCGCTCCCCAGTAAGTATCTTTCAGAGAGCTACCGCAGAAAGACAAGAACACAGTGCAGATCAGAAATGATCATTAGTTTCCCACTGATTATGTGGCTGAGGTGCCTTCCCTTGGAGTTGGTGGGATGGAGACAAACTGTTCGTATTCTACCTTCACTGGGACCCTCAAAGAAAACTATGCTATGTGCAACCAGGCTCAAGGGGGAGTAAACACAACGTTATATGAAATTAACTGAAATCCTAAATCTGTGTTTTGAAACATTCATACTTTGCATTCAGTGCCATGTCGATGTTGCTCTTCTTTTTGTAATTTTATTACGGCAGCATCTCAACAAAATCATAGTCCCTCTTTTAGAGTCTAGGCATGTGGACTTAATTGCTATCCTAAGTCCACAGAATGTGCAGCCTGAGTAAAAAAGGTAAAAACAACACCTCTTTCACAAAAAGCATTTGCATTCAGTCTGATAGCAAGTCCAAAATCACTTGGGTAAAATTTTCAGGAGACTCTAAGCTGCAGTGGGCAGATGTAACAAATAAGCAGGTGTTAATGGTCAGTGGGCGGCAAAGGTTCATGCTTCGATGCTCCATCTGTTCTCCAAGTCAGTTTTGACCTTCAGTCAATGAAAAGTTCTGAAAAAATACTACTGGAGTTTGAAAGTGCTGTCATGAATGGCGAGAGGGAAACGTGCCAGGAGACAAAGTGGAGTAGATACATTGCCTTCAATAATACGTAAGAAAAGAGTAATGGAATCAAGCAAAAACCCAGGAAAACAAAAGGTATCAGAAACCCGAAATACCTGAAGTGCCAGGACACAGAAATTCTCCAGGTATCTTTTCTTAGGGAACTAATATACATATATGCATCTGTCATTTTGATTCATCACTTTTTTACTGATTTAGAACAGAAAGCTAGTACTGAAGAGTTTCAAACAATTTTTAAAGCAAATTTTTAGCAGTTACATTAAAATTTAAATAAATCCTAAGAAAGCAATTTTATGACCATACACAGTTGAAAGAGATGTTCATAATTAAGTACCTCTCCCCTTAAGCTTTGATGCATCAGTATAACAACTTAATAAATGCTGGAAGAAACAGAACATATCCCATACTCCATTGAGAGATAAAGTGCTATAGGAATCTTAAAACTAATCCCTTCCAGTGTGGTTGCAAGTTGAAGAAGTACAGAGATGAGGGACATAAGAATAATGAAGGAGATATGGTTAAGTAAATTAATTCCCAATATTACATGAAGTTTTCTGTAAGAGAAAATAATAACAGCTAAAAAAAAATACCATGAACATATCCAACACTGACAGGGAGACAGACGTCTCTAAAGCAGCAAAATGCCTGGGCTAAGACTGGGGCCCCTTTGAAGTTACCGGTACGAGTTCCATTGATTTCCCTGGAGTCTAAATTTTGCACACACCTGTGTGCATGTACGCACGCGCACACACACACGCGCGTGAACACTGTGTTGTCCTCAGCAATTAGCGTTCATCTCAGAAGCACTCCCAGTGAGGCCAAGAGGACTGACGTGCTGAAAATGAAATATTTAACCATAGACAAAAGTGCTTATCTAAACTGGAGCTCATGACCTTAGCTATTCAGGACAGGATCTAACTTTTAAACCTGCCCTAAAGTCATACTGAGTTCAAGTAAGGACTGTACATACAAATAAACGCTTCTGAACTGTGACTTTGTTAAAATGGGGACTTATAGTACCAGAAAGCACTTTACACATTTGCAGTCTTGGGATTTCCTCGATGTTAAATTAAACCTCTTAAAATGTTAAGCAACTTGAAAGGATGAGCTGGTGTTGGCTTAAGCAACTGTTGCCGGGATCAAGTGGAAACCAATCCAGCTCCTCTTGCTGCTCAGTGATGACCCATGAGTGTGGCAGGATTGCACATGCCTAAATATTTTAGGGCAGTTAATTGCAATAGCTGCTTCCAGCTGGAGGAGTTCTACTTGGCTTTTCAGATGTTCAAAAAAACCACGTGTGGTAAGATATCTGGCATCCTTGTATTTGTTATATTTGATGGTCAGTACTGGAAGCAACTCAGAAATATGCATCATTTCCAGCAGTGAGGAATCTATTAGATATTTTGCCTGATGTCCACTAAAATTCTTGATACTTTGTTGTTTTTTTCTTAGAAAACTTTTCTCTCTTGGTATGTTATTACCTCTAAAGGAGAGCCCAGATAGATAACCTTATAATCACTCCCAAAGTAAACATAAAACTACATAAAATATTACCATTGGTCCGGTTCTAAGATTTTTGCCTGAGAAAGGAGGTTAGAGTTTGGCCTAGAGCTAATCCACACCGGTTTGTTGTACATGTAATAACATGCCAAGAAAAGGACCTTCATTTCACTTTCTTCAATTCAGAGAGAGCACTGGACTCATACGCTGTTTCTAACAACAGAAACTGCATCAGAAAAAGAGGAAACGGAAAAGCATACCTGTCCTCTGAAAAGATAATTACTATTTAACATTTATCTTACAATAAATGTTCTGCAGGGATGCCTGCAGCATGGAATTGATCTCCACTGCCTGCAGGTAAGGCTAAGAGCACCATAATTCAGAGGGCTTCACCTCAGATGAATTATGACCCCCAGTCTTGCTCATGAGCAGGGAAGATCAATATCTCAGCTATCGCACTTTATCATCTTTACAGAGAACAGGAGATGAATAAAAAATTATACTTTTAACTTTGAATAATTCCATGAGAAATTCTCAGCTATCAACTTCTGTTCTGAAAAGAAAGTTATAATTATGTTTGACCTGAGCACTGAATCGTGATAGAGAAGTGGTAGTGCAAAGAGTAATGTATGCAGCAGCTGAAGATCTTGAAGACTGAACCCTACTGTAATGTCATGACTGTACCTTTTTCTATTCTGCTTTTCAGTTATGCACAGGCAGTTTTAGAACTAATCATATTTACTGAGCGTGTGTAATGTGCCCTCTTAAAAAAAAGTAATTGTAACTTGATTGCATTTATCTTACCATTTTTGTTTAAAGGTGCTTTGCATTGAAATGACTCTGTATTTGCATATTTTATTGAGACAGCTAGTGATCAAACTCATCAGGCACTGCAATTAAATATTGTGTTTTTCTAGGAAAGGATGCCAACATATGCAGTGTTGTTGGAGAGAAAATGTTCTGGGAAAAGAAAACCAAAAATTTCAGAGCCTAAGTGCTGTTTGCAGCAAAGTGCATCCAGCTTTACACAGCTGAGGGAGCCATAAGATGTCTGGACTCCTGTGGTGAGCAGAGAAGAATAGCAATTTCTGAAAGGTGATTTAGCTCTTAACAAATCATCCTCTGGGAGCATCTTGGCTTCTAATTAAAGTGGCTTAGAGTAGGTCCTTGCAACTTGCACTGACGGTACCAGGCGCTGAGACACTCAACATCTGAAATGAAAACACGGCGTAACGTGAAATTTGTTCTTACTGTGGTGTCACTGAAAACACCGTCGAAGCTGAAGCTCTCTGGTTTTGCAACCACACTCTCTTAACTAGTCGGAATACCAGAGGTGTAGAACAAGGTAGACATTGGAAGGAAACTGGCCTGCTTCATATTGAGCTTACCCAGCAAACATCCTTTCTCCTTGATCCTCCTTTCTGCAGTGCTCCAGACTATGTCACGCAGGACCTTCTGCTGCCTCTCTAGTCCCACACAAGAACCTACAGAGGGGCAGGGCTACCACCTAGAGCTAAAGATTGGAGAAAATTTTCAAAGGCCTAAATGCCTTAAGAGGCTAAATTAGCGTTTTTACACATGGCTTTGAACCAGAACTTTAAAAGCATGTAGGACAGGCTGAACAGCATCTGTCTGTGTTTTTAAAACATCTGAATAGGTATAGAAATCAATGGGTATTAGGTACTGTGGCAATTCTAGATTTCTCAGGTGGTGTCAACCTTTATTTTTCTTAAAGCCTAAAAATTAAGCAGGGCATTTACAAAGGTAGCTTTAAGAACTTACGGTCTCTGACTGCTCTTTGAGTTTGCTTTCAGTCAGTGCAGAGATGTTGGCAGGAGTCTCCCTGTGCCCTTTCAATGGCCTCCTTTGTCCAGAAGCTACAGAAGAAACTTAAGATAAGTAACCTATACTATGCCTCACATCGGGTAAAGCAACCATCAGAGTGGGCTTTGATGAGACATTGACTCTGTCTTGTTGAAAAGGAAATTTAAGTTTCTGAAAGCCCTTTTGAAAGCATTACCCCAGTTCCTGCAAAGCCTCAGAAACTGTCAGATTGACACTTTACTTATTATTTT